TCTTTTTTCTGCCATATGTATGTAGAAAGTGTTGTGCTGTTCGAATATTTCCTGTTGTTGAATGAAAGGTTGTGATTGTTATTCCTCATTTTGAATGGGCCTTCGGTGGCACCGATGTAGTGCATAGTGTTGTTGTTTGTACTTACCTTGGCCATGTATATAGTGTTCGTAAGTTGGCAATTTCCTGGAGTGGACATGTTGTTCTGTTTCTGCAGTTGCATATTGGATCCTTGGTTACATTTTTTGTAGGTTGTCAGTTTTTTTGTTGTGGCTTTTAATTATTTCTGTTATGTTTTTTGTACAGCTGTAGCTAATCTTTACGTTATTTTTGTTGAATATTTTTGATAATTTGTTTTCTTCAGTGAAGTGTTTTTCTATTAAGTTTAGGAATATTTTGCCTATGTTCGTTTTAAATTTCCCCCACCACTTCCACAATAACACCAATACACGCAATCTATATAAACCCTAATTTTTTAAAACATTAATCAGTTTGTCTGACGATCGCTAAAGCGTGAAACCCAGGGTCACAAACTCACATCTATCCAACTAAAATATATATATATATATATATATATATATATATATATATATATATTGACTTTCCTCACTATATAACCAACAGTTATGCAGGAAAGTTATAACAATAATAGAAATCCCGATAAAATGTTAATAGATCCAAGTAGGCTATTTTCTCTGAAAAAAAAAAAAAAAATTAACAAAACAAAAAAAAACCCTGAAAATTTTTATTAATTTTGACGGGGAGTTTGGCTATGTGTTCAGTGAATACATGCCGTATGTTTCCTCTACGAGAGGGTCACTCGGACCGGAAAGTGAAATATTGCACTTAAAAATGGGTATATGAATATTTGCTATGATATAGACTGACAGAAAAATAAAGAGTTAAGAATTAAAACTGCTGCAACAATCTATGCCGTAAATCACTACTTTACAAACCAGTTCTTTCTACAAATTCTTGTCTTTCCTTTGCTGACCGAACTAAATATTGACTCTTTATCCTCCTGTTTTTACCGGCGATTTGCCAACTATTCACACAAACTCATTACATTGCTTCCACGTTCTTTCTTCCTGCTTCTGTTGCCTTCACAATGTCAAGTGTCTGTTACATTCCGCTCACCCTCCTTCAATGTCCAAGAAATTCCAGTTGCCGCTGTCTTATTGCAATTGCTAGTTTCTTTGTAGTTCTTATTGTTCTTAAAAGGCCTCTCTTTGCTTATGCTTTATCCGTAGTATATAATCATTCGTCAGTCGAATCACATCCCTGTCTCCTCTTTATCTGTGTTCAGCTTTCACTGTCATGTGATGCATAACATTTGGCTTTAAGCAAATTTCTACCATCATCGAGCAGACCCCGACTTTTCATATCTCATGATAGATGGATATTTTCGCAGATGCTTCCTGCTTTGAATGTCTATTGAGACACAAGATTTCCCCAGACCTCAAGTTGAACTCATATTTACAATTTATTGCTAAAGATGCTAGAAAATTTTTTTGGCCATTTCACTCCAAGCAAGGTGGGAATGTCACCAGTACGTAGGAGGTTACAGTGAGTGAAAGAGAATGAGGAGACTGAATATAGGAAGGATTGAGGAAAAAAACCAAAAAAAAAAACAAACAAAAAAACAAAACAAAAGACAAAAACGGGTATCTGTCTATATTTCTGAGATGAGGTATTACGTACACTATTTACATTATTCGGACTATTGTCCTCATCTTTGTTGCCATATTTATTACAAAGTTTCAGCCTTTTAGTATCTGTCTATATTTCTGAGATGAGGTATTACGTAGACTATTTACATTATTCTGACTATTGTCTTCATCTTTGTCGCCATATTTATAACAACGTTTCGGCCTTTCAGTATCTGTCTATATTTCTGAGATGAGGTACTATGTAGACTATTTACATTATTCGGACTATTGTCTTCATCTTTGTCGCCATATTTATTACAACATTCGGCCTTTCAGTATCTGTCTATATTTCTGAGATGAGGTATTATGTAGACTATTTACATTATTCGGACTATTGTCTTAATCTTTGTCACCATATTTGTTACAACGTTTTGGCCGTTATACGCTCCGTCCTTCTTCATGTGGTTGGAATGTCGAACCGAACCCTTTATTTCGCTCACTGGGGTAGACTCTTCTAGTTTCACGTGAAATGTCTAATGGATGTCAATTATCAGTTATCTCCTGTTAATTCCTTAACCGAGTATTAAATAAGGCAGTGGGGAACTAAGAGAATTACGTTTCGGCATTAATTAACCCATAATCAGTTTATATGCCGATAAACAAACAAAAGTTACTATATATATATATATATATATATATATATTCAAGTACGAAACTATGTAGGAAATTCTCAAAGCATATAACTTGTTTAGCATTCAGTTAAATTACCTCTCTACCTTATTTTTCTTTCTTAGGAAACCATATTGTCTGGGTTTGTACAGATTATGTAACCATATGTATCAGCTTTAGTTAATGTCTGGCTGCCAGTAGCTGCCAATCTACCTGTCATGACCCATTTAAAAAATAATTTTTAATTTTTGCTATTTCACATAGGCCATATTTGATTGGTTTCATTTTGTTTTTAAATCTAAATTAATCGTTCACTTGTTAGTAGTTTACAATCGCCTGAAGAGATGCATTGATATAAATTGAACCATAACTGCAACTGTATAGCGATTTTAACATGTTTTCGGTGTAATACCCTAAAATATATATATATATATATATATATATATATATATATAAATTTCAATGTCTTTATCCTTCGTTTATTTTATGAGTTAATATTTCAATATTTCTCGAATTCTTTGAGAGTTACGGTATATACTCGTGTATAAGTCGATTTTATATATAGTGCGCCAGCTGAATATTTTTGTAAAAAACGTGATTTTCTCATAATGAGATCCCAGCTACTCTGCAATACCAGTCGGCCTAACGTCGTCAAATATTGCAGTACTGGTTATCACCCTGAACATATTTTCTAGCGAACAAATGGCCTTCTTTTTGTGTAGAATTAGTCCATATTGCTGAGAAAAACCAGTTACAGCAAAGTATCTGAAACGATGATTTAGACACCGTACTTTTGTTTTCATTCATGTCTGATTTTTAACCTTCTCAAAAAATTCATCTGAGGAGAGTGTGACTCACTATTTTAACGTAAAAATGATGATAAAAACAAGGACTATTCTCATATATATATATATATATATATATATATATATATAGTAAATGACTTTACGTATTTTATACCAATATTTACTTTACAACTTTAGTTTTTTTCCGAGTTGAGACCACGCATTTTAAAAGTTTTTTTTTTTTCAGTTCGAGCCTGTTTATTAAAACCGGTGATAATTACGCAGCTATTTATTATATTTTCAGTTGATACATTATTTTCATAGATACAATTTATTTAATTAAATGCGCTGTTTTTAAATAAACAGTATTAATTACTTTTACAGGCCTGAATGTTCGAGAAATTTCGTTCAAAATATTCGTTCTCTGAAGGCAATCGAACCTGTATTCCTAAACGGTAACCGTCATTTGATCTGACGTGCTATACCATTTAGCTACAGAGAAACATCTGGTTGGTTAGTAAAGTCCAAATTACTGCTTTTAAACACACAATCTTCGACAATTTTTCTCGATCGATCATATCTGCTCACGAAACGTATCTTAACGTAAACAATGACAACATATAATGAAATGGATTAAGTCCTACAATTATTTAATGTATTTTCTGTTTATACGTTATTATAATTAATGCGATTTATTTAAGTAAATTGACTGTTTTTAATTAACCTGTATTCTTATAGTCATTTGATCTGACGTGGTATGCCAGAGAGAAGCGACTGGTTAGCACTCAGGCCGGTAAATGTAATTAATATTGTTTATTTAAAAACAGAGCATTTACTTACGCAAATAAATTGTATCTAAAAGAAAATAGCGTATAAACAGAAAGTATATTAAAGTCGGACGTAATCCATTCCATTATTATATATATATATATATATATATATATATATATATATATATATATATATATATATATATATATATAAAGTTGTTTTTCAGTTGTTTAGTCGATGTTGTTCTGATATGTTATGGGAATGGCTAATTTTTCATATGTTGAAAGGAACTACCAAAGCCAAATAACTTGAATCAATGAACAGGAATAGAAGATATAAATAAAAAGTAAATCCAGACGCAGACAAGAAAAAAGGACACATTTAATATGAATTTTTTTAGGATGACGAACAACTCAAATAAAGGGCAAATAAACTGACAGAGATTTCAAATCATAGACATGTTAGAAATGTCTTTAGATCAACTTAGCTAGTCTCTACAGATTCTAAGTACGTATAAATAAAAAGAAAGAACAGTAAGATATATAATCCGGTGTTCTTATAGTTATTTTTATTTTTAAAAAAGTGCTAAAAAATAAGTTGCTCCAAAATTCGCTTGTGGATGAAATAAAACGAATGTCTTTAATTTAATTACAAAATTAAATTCGAAGCTTTTAGCTTCCATTTTTGAAACATGATTAGAACTGTGTAGCGAAAAAAAGAAAACATATTTTAAATCAGTTAATTTATTATATATATATATATATATATATATCTATATATATATATATATATATATATATATATATATATATATATATAAGCATTTATATTATATCAATAATATCCAGAAAAGTGAACTGAACCGTGGGAAAAAACCCCCAAAAAACTTAAACAAAGAACTTCCCGTGATCTTTAGCTAAACAAACACATATTAGACTGACCGTGTACCACTGTCGGTCTTTGATAGCATTTCTAGAAATAAGGAGGGTTGCTTGATAATGCCCAGCTCCACTACACTTAATATGGTAACACAGGATTAAAGAACACTAACAGCAGAGAGTAGTGTCTGGCATGATTGTTTGGAACCGTTGGAATAATATGTTTTTGCAAGCACATTGCTACAGATAGAATAAAATTTACTTTAGCTATAGTTTAAACTTGTTTCGCACAATCAAATATACATACAGTTCACAACCACATGCACACACGGCACATAAACACGTATCTATCTATCTATCTATCTATCTATCTATCTATCTATCTATCTATCTATCTATGTTTCCATCTACTTGGCTTCTGCATATTTGGACACTTGCAGTCATAAATATCTCACTCCATCCCTATTTTTGCATACATATTATATATATGTACACACACGCAACACACACGCACGCACCTATATATATATATATATATATATATATATATATGTAAACAACTAAAAATCCCTCCACACACATATAACCCACACCACACCATACCACGCCACATCGTACACCACAGTGAACACAATCAATATATCTACTTGGTTTCTGTATATGTGCATGATTTCAAGTACAAATAATCTCACTCAATGCCATCATATATGCTAGCACACACACATATATATGTACTTGTTATTATATATATATATATATATATATATATATATATATATATTCAGGCAAAAAATTACATCATATACATACAGTCCATATCACACCTTACGCTATAATACACATACTAGAGCAAAACAAAAGTAAATAAACACAGTACGCCTTGCACATACAATTGCGCATACACCGTATGTACACACATTCATTCCACATACTAAGCTACAAATACAAACTCACAACGCAAACGCACACAGATTCATGTTTGTCTCAGAAGAGTAAAAGAAGCATGAAAAACAGAAATAGAAAATTCTTGACGAAGAAAGACAAAGAAAAGTAATGACAAAAAATAGATAACCTCGAACATTCTAAAGAATTGGCGACGTGTTAAATGGCGAAGATGAAAAGATTTGAAGGAAAAGAGGAGTAAAAATTGACAACGCGGAAAGAAGTGAAAAACTGAAAATGAAAATATCAGAAAAAAAAGAAAAGAACAAGGGACAAATGAAAGCTAAATATCAGGAAGAGCTGTTGAAAAAGGAAGAGAAAAAAAGAAAGATTAAATGTAGGGGGGTAGGAAGAAAAGAAATCGAAAGGAGGGGACAGTATGGAAGGAAATGAAAAATTCATTTGGGGAATAAAGAAAAAAGAAAAAATGAAAAAGTTAAAGAAAAGAAAAAAGAAAAACAAAGAAAAGAAAGAAGAAATAATGAAGAAAATAAAAAAACTTAAAGGAAAGAAAAAAAAGAAAAAGAAAGGAAAGAAAAAAAGAAAAAACAAAGAAAAGATAAAAGAAAAACAAGAAAAGAAAAAGAAAAAGAAAAAAGAAAAAGAAAAAAGAAAAAAGAAAAAGAAAAAAGAAAAAATAAAGAAAAGAAAAAAGAAAAAACAAAGAAAAGAAAAAAGAAAAAGAAAAAGGAAAGCATAAAGAAAAGAAAAAAAGAAAAATAGAAAAAAGAAAAAGCAAAAACAAAGAAAAGAAAAAAATAAAGAAAAAGGAAAATTAAAGAAAAGAAAAACTAAAATAAAGAAACAAAAACTAAAATAAAGCAGAAAGAAGAAAAGGAAAATGAAAATGAGTGATGGAAAGAGATAATGAAAATTTTACGAAAAATAATATAAAAAGGGGGAAATAATTAAAAAAGCATAAAACAGTGTCTCCCTCCCCCCCAAAAAAGGCGCGAGAAGAAAGCAAGTAAGAGAGAAAAACGAGGAATAAAAAGAAAATAAAAAAGAAGACAAAAACTTTAAAAAATGATAATTCAAGATAAAAAAAGAAAACATAAGATAATTAAAGCGGGAAGAGAAGGAAAAAAATGAAAAATGAAATAAAAAAGACAAAAAAGAACGAAAAAAGAGGCAAAAAAGCGATCAAACCAAAAGTATGGAAATTCTAATCCTGAATAAATCCGAAGGATAAAATAAAGACTGTATGAAAAAGAATATAAATAAACGTTAAAAACGAAAACTTATTGAACATGTTCAAAAGGAGCCGAGTGTGTTGGCAAAGTGTAGAAACAATCGCCAATATTCATCGGGGCTAAATACGAGATATGATGATCCATCCAAAGTGCAAAAACTAACAAAAAGAAAAAAAAAAAACATGTCGGTTGAGGCAAGCGAGGGCAAAGCTATATAGGCAATGGCTAGCGATTAGTGGAAATGAAAGAAAAACGATATGGGATGATGCCAATATGGACAGCAGTGGCATTCCAAAGAAGACAATGATTTAAAAGCTCATAAAACTTTCATTCTAACGGAGTTCACGGAGTGGATACAAGCGAAACTTTTTCAACAGATTCCAAGAAATGTTAATAATTTTGTCTCACTCTATCGATTCATTAGTCAGTGAAATATTAGTAGGAAATATATAAGCGTGACAACAAATTATAAACTATCTCCACATTTTCTTTCTTTCTTTTTCTTTGTTTCTTTTTCTTTGTTTCTCTTTGTTTCTTTGTTTCTTTCTTTCTTCCTTTCTTTCTTTCTTTCTTTCTTTCTTTCTTTCTTTCTCAGTATTTTCATATCTATCTCTT